AGTTAATGGAGCTGTGGAAACTTGCAGAGGTGAAGATGAATGGGTTATGTCTAAGCGTTTTAGAAATTACTTTAATTTTTCCCATCCCCTTATTGCAAAGCATTTGGACCCCAATGAGTGTGCATGGGCTTATGGGATGAATATCTTTGATCTACGCGCATGGAGAAAAACAGACATAAAAGAGACATACCATTCCTGGCTTAAAGAGGTAAAAGTCCAAATAGAATATAAGCAACCAAATTCTTATTTTTTTGTTGCTGTTAACTTACCTTGCTTGTTAGTTTAGTGCTATTTTACAACAATGAATTGAGTGGCTAAAAAACCTTTTTATACGTTAATTTATACAGCAGTGGCGTGGGGAGACATGTGGACACAAGTTTTCTATCTATTTTTGTGTCCTATTTTTCCTCCTTACTGAAAGAGGATAACATTGATGACTCCTGTATTGCAGAATCTGAAGTCTAACCTTACAATGTGGAAGCTTGGAACCTTACCGCCTGCTTTAATTGCATTTAAAGGTCATGTTCACCCAATTGATCCCTCCTGGCACATGCTTGGCTTGGGATATCAGAATAAAACCAATATTGAGAGTGTAAAGACGGCTGCAGTTATTCACTACAATGGGCAGTCAAAACCCTGGTTGGAAATTGGCTTTGAACATCTTCGGCCATTTTGGACCAAATATGTCAATTATTCAAATGATTTTGTCAGGAACTGTCATATCCTGGAACCATAGGCAGTTTACGAGAAGAGTGTTGGTATGAACGGCAAACACCAAAGAGACAAGTTAAAAAGGTTATCATCTAAATTTTTTTGGCTTGAGATTTTCTCCAGGATGAATTTGGGAAGTCAAATAGAGGTTGGGTTGAAAGGGCAAAACGGTATAAAATTGTGGGTGGATTTGCTGCCATCCCCTACATTTTTGCAAATTTGTATCATCCTGGAATGGCCTTGAGAATCACTTCAGTCTTGTGACAAAAAAATTGATCCTATTTGTCTTTGCTTGATGAAAGGATGAAATAGTTTTGGTCTTCGGTGGGGGCGCCTGTGTTAAGTATTGCTTAGTGAAGAACTTCACAGAAAATAAACTGAATGCTGAGGATGAAAGATACACGTCAAGTCATCATTTTAGTTGGGGCAAGGATCGAAACTGACAGTTATACTATGTGAAATTCCTCCACTAGTACAGCGATTTCCCCTTCATTTTTTAGTTTCATTTTTATTAGTACCACATTTTTTACACCTTTTAAATTTTGATATGATGATATGATAAATTGTAGGCGTAGTTCTTGAGATTGCTTTTTCACACATGCATTGAATTGGGGAACTGTTTGTAGGATATATATTGGTATTCGTTTTGTACTATCACGACACATTGGAAATGTGCAGAAATTTTTTCTTCTCTTCACAATTTTTGATGGAAAGCCATCGGGATAGGGGTGTTCATAGGTTCGGTTTGGTTTGGTTTTGGGCAAAAACCAAACCGAACCGAACCATTCGGTTTACTGATAATTGGAACCTGATCGGTTTTTGCAAAGTTCGGTTTGGTTCGGTTTTATTTTCGGTTTGGTTAAGCTCTTGATCAAGTTTTAATACACTTGTTTAATTTTTTTTTCCTTTTCTCCATCTTCATAATGGTGCTATGTACTAAAATTAAATTTAATTTTTTTTGACTCCTTTTTTTCATAAATAGAGGTATAAAAATATAATAAAATTTCAATATGATAACAATAATTAATCATAAAAATTCATATAAGTTTTTAATATTAAAATTATTTAATATTATATATTTTCATTCAGATCCTTTGAAAATGTTTATCTATATATCTATATTTTAATAAATAATGAAAAATTTATTATACAAAATTCAAAACAAAATGTTTCTTGTAGATAAATTGAATGCTGAGGCTTTTAGGTTGTAAATAATTAAATGATGATCATAACATGATTATTATAATTACTTAATATTATGCATTTTCATTCAAGTATTTTAAAAATATTTATTTATTATTATAAAAAATTCAAAACAAAATGCTTCTTGTAGATAAATGGTTATATATTTTATAAATAAATAAATAGAATTTTTTTAATCAAGTTTGGTTCGGTTTCTAGTATTCAAAACCGAACTTGAACCGAACCAATCGGTTTTTATGTCATAAAAACCGAAGCAGACCTAATTGTTGTTCGATTTTGATCGGTTTTTATCGGTTTGGATTGGTTTGGATCGATCCTTTCGGTTTGGATCGGTTTTGAACACCCTTACATCGGGATGATCACTTTCGAGCTTAGGGTCCGAGAACGATAAAGCACGGAGAGCCGGCGTTTTTGATAGGATCCGTTAGCCAATATATTTGGTGGGCTAAGAGTCAGATAGTCCAACTTGAATTAAATTGGGAAAATTATAGATTACTCCCAAACAAAAAAAGTAATCACTAAAAGATATCTTAAAAAACACCTCGGGAGAAACTTACAAGCAATGAAGCATTATATTTCAAATTACCTTACATATTTACATCAGTGTCTTGTCAAATATTGATGCTTCTTTCACACATATTCATAGAGTATTAAAATATTATTTTTTTTAATTTTTGATACATATTTAATATTTTTAAATTGTTAGTTGTTACTTTAAAACTGATGCTTAAAGATTATTTTTTAAAAAATTAAATTTTATTAAATATTGCAATATTAATTTTTTTATATATTTTTGTGATTTGGTTTTAAAGTCAAATATTAGATTTTCCTTAAAAAAAAGTTTTAGGTATAACAAGAGGATAATAATTATATTTTTAAATTATAAAAATATAAGAATATAATCTTTTAGCACATAAACCTTAGATATGAAACTATCAGAAATGATGAGGCGGTAAGCAATTAGATAGATATAGAATAAAAGTATAATTAATGATTATATTTTGATTGATATTATTATAAAGAATTATATGTATGCTAGGTTAGATATTTTTTAAATTGAAGTTATATTTTAAATATTTTTATAATTTTCTTAAATATATTATCACATATTAAAAACATATCATATCTTATATATATATATATTTTAAAAAAATCAATGTATTAGATACATATGCAATACATATATCAATATCTATGCAACCTAGCTTACAAGTGTCCTTTTGATGCTTATAAGTTAAACTTAAAAGTTTACAATTTATCTAGCATGTTTTTGCATAAATTATTTAAAATATCTATTAGTAATTAATTTCTTTACCTATAACTTATACATGATTTTTCCATTAAATAATGTAAGTGATAGAATACTTTTAAGATAGAATATGTATCATTTTTTCTTTTTCTTTTTTTATAAAAATGTATCAAATTGCTACTGAGGCTAACTCTTGAGGGCAAGAGCAAGATAAAACGTAAGCTCTAGTGTTTAAATCCACATTATGTATAAAAATAATTAAAATATGGTTTATGTTATAGATATTTTATTTTTTTAAATAACGCTTCACAAGTTTTAATAGTTATTTTAATTTAATATAATGTTAATTTTAACATCATATTAGTAAATTGTGTATCAAATTGACATGTTAAATTTAAATTTTAAAAAAATGTCGTTATTAATTTAGGATCTATTGATTAAAATGGAACAAAGTTATTTATTCTTTAAACAGATATTCATTTGCTATAACCTTATTTGTTTAATGTATTGTAAACAATATTTAATCTAGGAGAACACTTACAAATTTAGCTTTATATACTTAATATATTTGATTCAGTTAAATTAGAACTAGTGAATTTAACATATTACTAATATTAATAATAAGAATTTATTATATAGCACATAATGTATAAAAAATTCAGATTGGATTGTAAATAAGCATTTTAAGAACATAAAATTAAATGCCTAAGGGCTCATTTGGATTTCAATTTAGAAAATTTGATTATGAAAAAACTGATTATTAGAACATGATAATGTATGGATAAATTTTCAGAAATTGATTTTGATAAAATTGAATATGTTTGGATAATTTTTTTAGAATCAATTTTGAATGTGTAAATTATAATATAGGACATCCATTTTTATAATGTAATATTTTTCTGATCAAATTTTTTTAATGTAATATTGATAAAATGAATCCATATAAAAAAATAAATCTATGTATCTAACTTAAAATAAATTTAATAAAAGAGACAAATATAATTTTTAAATACTGAACATTAATTTTACAATGACTAACGACTTGGGAGATAATAAAAAATTTGATCTCTAAAGATGCTTGACTTCATGCCTGTCTGAAATCTTGAGGAGTAAAGGAGACGCTGAGTTAATTTCATGTGAGGGAAAGAAGAGAAGTAGGAAAGAGTTTTAAATTTTTTATTTACCATTTGAGACGACAATAAATGCATAACGGTCAAAATAAATTTATAAACGGAACAAAATTCAACTTTTCCCAAATAAAGTTTGGGAAGGCAATTGAGGTTTGGAAAAATAAACCAATAAACCATGGTTTCAAATTTTTTTATCCAAACACCTAAGGTTTTCCATGGTTTTGGAGCCAAAATTTATTTAAAAGGTGTATCCAACAAGCATTAAGTTTTGTCCTTTAATCTATTATATCAAGTAACTCTAAAACATCAATCCTCAACCAAGCAATTCCCCCTCCCTGCGCCCCAGGAGGGTTACGCTTCTTAAACACTCAATCACAATCCCTGATAATTTTTCAGTTCTGATGAAATTGCAACAGTATGCTCTTTGTTTTTAAGGTGAAAAAAAATTGTTCAGATCCGACAAGAATTGATCAAATATTGGGTAAAAAATATAGCTTCTAACTATGCATGATGCATGCAAATATCGATAGTAAAAATCCTAACCACCAATTCAACAGTAGAAACTAGAAACCACTCAGGTTATGGTAAACCTGGATCGATGAACATATTAATCAAGACACTTTCTTATATAACGCTTGAAAAGATAAATTACATTGGACAAATTCAAGTAACCACGCCAATGTATTAATCTACATACAGGGGTTAAGTTAAAGCAAAAATGCAGTTGTTTTATATACTTGATCTCATTTGATCATGGTACGATTTAGTAATATTGTTTTTAGTCCATAGTTTCCTATCTATGTGCTAGGTATATAACAATGAAAGAAACAAATAAAAGATCGTGTGAAACTTCCAGGGGAGAGAGGGAGACATGAGAGAAAGTTTAATCTTAAAAAACTGAAAAGCAGATTCCCCCCCCCCCCCCAACCTTTGAATGAAAAATTGTAACTTCTATTAAATAATTACATGTGGCAAGGGATTACCTCACCAATCACACAAGCCTCTAAGAAGACCGTGCTCATAACAGTCACGGCTGTGTCCAGGCAATTCATAATATCATGGACTCGTCCAAAGAGACGGAGAGTTTACATCACTCCGAAAACATGCCCTCTTCGGCAACCACTTGATGCATGTTCACGTACCTCTTCAAATCCAAGAGCAACCTCATCAATGATACCTCAAACTCGAAGACAATTAATTATGAACGGATAATCCTGTCCCCATGAATAGAGATTATTTTTGAATTCTATATGATTGATTCCACAAAAACTGAAATCACGATGGAGATGGAGCGAATCCTAGTATCAATCAAGTGACAAACATATATCCTAAGAAACTGACGCCCTTGTACTCTGCATGCATGGGCAAAGAAAAAGAGAAATCTGTTCATGCTAAAGCAGCATGAACGCAGTGTCTCACCAAAATGATCAGACAGTTTCCACCACATAATGACCACGTATGATGGTAACAGCTAGATGGTGCTTCTCAGTTCTCGCTCTATGAAGGAAATACCTGTTATGCATTTGATAGGGCTATCCGAAGCTACTCAGCATCGGAAGGAACTCTTAAGGTTTGTGCGTGAAGCCAAGAATACTGCAAACTGGCAGTGAGATCTACATAGAGCATGCTCATCAGTTTACATATTTCTGACCTCAATCAAACTAAGAGCAGGTGCTTTTCTTAATCCTTCCTCATTTAACATGTGTCTAAGCTTCTCTGCGTCACTCCATCTTCCTACAACAGCATAAAGTTTTGCCCACAAGACATAATTTCCTGTATTTTCAAGCTCAATCTCAAAAAGCGACCTTGCTGCCATCTCTCCCAGTTCAACATTCTCATGGATCACACAAGCACCGAGAAGTGCACCCCATACAGCATGGTTAGGTGTTTCAGGTATTGTTTTAATAAAATCATAGGCATCCTTGAGTCGACCGGCACGACCAAGAAGATCAATGATGCAATTATAATGATCAGTACTAGGGATAATCTGGTGTTGTTCCAGCATCAACTTGAAATTGCTCAAACCCTCATCAACCATCCCGGTATGGCTGCAAGCATGCAGAACAGAGGTGAATGCAACTTGATTTGGTTTTATCCCAGATTGCATCATCTAATTGAAAAGTGATACGGCCATTTCTCCATGCCCATGCTTTCCATAAGCAGCAATTATTGCACTCCAAATAACAATATCCTTATCTCTTAGAGGGATTGTACCCAAAATCTGGTGAGCATATCCCAAAGATCCACACTTCGAGTATATATCAACTAGAATACTTGATACTTCAAGCCTATAAAGAAATCCAGATTTTATAAGGTAACAATGCATGTTCATTGCCTGAAGGAGGTCAGCTAGAATAGCATACACAGGAAGAAGAATGTTCAAGGTTGCATCATTAGGTTGTATTTCTTCCAGTCACATTTGTTTGAAGAATTCTACCGCTCCTCTTGCAAGCCTATTATGCATGAACCCAGATAGAAGTGCATTCCATGGGAACCATTTTCGAGGTTTTCATAAATATTTTATAACTGAGGTCAACATGATTGCATTTTGCATACATATCAATCAAGGCAGTTTCCACCATAACCTCAGTCTCAAGTTTATGCCCATGCATGCAAACACTTGCCAGGGTTCATGGAAACTAAATTGGCACAAGCTGATAGAAGAGAAGCTATACTCACTAAATTGGGTTTCACTCCTTCACATTGCATCCTGTGACAAAGCATCAGAGCACTTCTCGGATCACCATTCAGAACATAACCATTGATCAAAGTCGTCCAAGTCACTACATCCTTCTCATCCATCTTATTCGTTAATGACCACGCTTCTTCCATTCGACCGCACTTAACATACATGTCCAACATAGCATTCCTCACAGCTATATTCCCCCAAAGTCCCTTCTCTTGAACTAATGCATGAATCTCTCTTTTCCAGCTCCATGTTCTTCAAATAAGCACAAGCAGGTAATACGGAAACCACTGTTGCACAATCAGGCTCCACATCTCCATCCTTCATCTTGTTATAGACCATCGAAGCCTCGTCTACACAGGAATTTCGGAAATAACCGTCAATCATGGTATTCCAAGACACTGCATTTCGTTCCTGCATTGAGTCAAAAACCAGTTGTGCTGCTTCTTTCTCCCCACAATTCATATACATTGCCATCAGATTGTTCTGGACAAACATGTCCAAATCAAAGCTAGTTTTCAAAGTCCGCCCATGAACTACAATAACCACGTCAATCAACGACAAGTCACCACACGCCTTGATGGTAAATGGATATGTAAAGTTGTCAGGTTGACTCTGACCTGAAGCAAGCATATCAACAAACAGTTTCAGTGCATCATAGGGGCGACCATTTTGGCAATACATCCTGATCATGACATTCCACAAGAACAAGCTTCGATGAGGCAATTTAGCAAACAGCTCGTGCGCATATGAGGCATGATTGCATTGCGCATAGGTTGTGGCTAGAATTGAGCAAAGCTGGGAGTAAGGATTGGAAAGAAGGCCACAGGTGATGATGATGCAGGCGTGTAGTTCTTTAGTTTTAAAAAGCAACTGAGCCGCGGCATACTTCCTCAAGGATCTTGTGAAAATCTCTAAACACTCCCCCCTACACCATAATTATCATCACCACAAGGATTCAGACGAAAACTCTTAATCCAGAAATTTTATCTGAAATATATTTGAAGTTAACACAAAAGATAAAAAGCAATATTTACCCTCGAGACATCCACCCTACTAAGAAGCCTTCGTCCCAACCGCTGCCCAAACAACCTGAAGCACAAAAAAATGGATGCAGTCAAAGATATAAAATGACTCAATGCATGAAAGAAACAATGATGTTTCAGGATCTAACCTAAGTAACATATAGAAAGCAACCAGCAACCTGATAAAATCAGATGAAGCAAAAATTCTGTTAGCTAACTCAGAAGTAGAAGCCATTTTGGTTTAAACAGGGACCTTAAAAAACAACCTTTGTCGCCCCCAAGAATTTATCAACTGATGATAGCCGAAGATAGTTTCAATTATAAGGTGCAATAATTTGTTATGTGTAATACTTAATAGCTTGCTAAGTAAAGCAATTCTTATTTTCATGTGCCAGTGACACTACTGTAGGATAGTATTAAAATTAATAAAAATTAAATTTTACAGTAAAGCATAACTTAAGTTATCTCTCTAAGAGTTAATAAAGTAGCTATTTGAATTATGATTATGAAAAGCTAAAAACTATTGTTATAGGAGAATACACAAAAGAAGAGAATAATGTTACGCCCAAATTCTCACAAATTAAAAATTATCACATTAATCCACTGAAACTAAATTCATTGCCACTTAACTTAAATTTTAAATATAAAATCAATTACTTATCATGCTTAAATGTATCCAAACTAAAATTGCCTTAAACTCACAACTTCACACAAAAAAACACTAAAAGTATAAAAAAATGTAAGAAAACACCTAATTTTTTTTAAAAAAAACTTTTCAAAATAAAGACAAGTCCCTTCCCCTACACTTAAATCTTGCATTGTCCTCAATGCAATTCAATTTAGAATAATCCAGTTAATCTAAAAATAAAATATAAGATGCAAGGTAATAGTGAAAGGATAAGAGTCAACCAGATAATTTAAATCTTTGTAAGTTCTTAAAGTTAAAATTCTCATCTCTAATAGAGAATAGATGCTTGTTCAAAATATTTTTCTCTCTAAACTTATCAAAAGCTCCTTTGGGCAATGGCTTTCCTTTATCTGGTTGAAGGTTACATGACAATATCTCCATTGAAGATAGCCTCATTATAGTAGAAAGAATTTTCTTAATCATAGGTACCTACTTATAAAACTCAACATAAACAATAAAATCCTCCACACAAGGACCATTAGAGTCAATACCATTACAAAAGGCCATAGGGATCACAAAATCAATGCTATTTAAGCAACCCATCGACTGCATGATCTCACAAGTATCATCATAATCAAGAGGCTCAACACAAATAGATGGGTTAATAGCCTCAGTAGAATCAATATAGTCAAGTGGATCATTACGCTCAATAAAGTTAATACAAATAAGAGAATCTAAAGAATCATCAGAGTTTATGAATTTATCTATTTCAACACAAGTAGCACAGTTATGTAAGCAATCAAATGCACAATGCATAATGTTTTTATAATTTACCAAATTAACCAACTCAGTAGTCAAATTATCCCAAGTTTTATCACATGTATCATTAACTAACATATCAAGCATGCTCACATTAATAACAGAATGATCCTCTATAGAATATTTCATATCCTCTAAGAGATTGAACTGAACAGCATATCCTGCAAATTCCATAGAAAAAATACTATCTTTAACATTGATGATAGTATTAGCTGCCTTAAGAAATGGCCTGCCCAAAATTAGTGGTGGTGGCCTATGACTATCGTTTTTACCCATAGCTAAAATATAAAAATCAGTAGGAAAGACTAAATCCTTTACCTTTACTAGAATATCTTCAAGCATACCATTAGGATAAGTAAGTCTCCTATCTGCTAATTACACAATAATTCTAGCTGGCTTCATCTCACAACCCTGCAAAGAAGAAAATAGAGACTTAGGCACAACATTTATCGCTGCACTAAGATCAATCAAATCGTTAGAAAATTCTAAATTTCCTATAGTACAAGGTATAGTAAAACTTCTCGAATCTTTGCATTTTAAGGGCATGGAGGGTTGACACTGAATTCCACCATGGAATAAAGCTGATACACTTCTTCCTAGATTGACTTTCTTATTAGCTTTAAATCTTCTCTTGTTCGTGTATAGGTCTTTCAAAAACTTTACATATTTAGGAATTTGCTTTACTACCTCCAAAAGGGGAATATTGACTTCAACTTTTTTGAAAACATCAAACATTTCTTTTTTCAATTCAACTTCCTTTAACTTCTTGATTTGAGTCTCCCTATTTGAAAATGGAAGGATTTTCCTTGGTTCCTATTCTTCATTAGACTCCCAGATGAGATTTGTGTTTTTACTACAGCTGACTTATCCCTAGTTGTAGTAGGCTTTAGAAGTTCCTTTCCACTTTTAAGAGTGATTGCACCAACATTATTGTAATTAAGATTCACAACTATTTGAGAAGGCAACTTTCTAGAACCTTGATTCTTCAATTCATTGATAGAAGTGGATAATTGCCCAATTTGATTATCCAATTGTTGAATGATTGTCTTAATATGTTGTTGAAATTGGATGTTATTAGTTGCCATTTGCTTCATTAATTGTTCTAGATTTGGTCTATCATTTGTAGACTCTTGAATGAGAGTAGATTGCCTCATTGGTTGCATAAGCTATGAATTTTGAACTATAGCATTATATTATTGTTGTTGACTTCCTCCATACCTGAAATTAGGGTGATCTCTTCACCCTGGATTAAATGTTAGAGAAAGGATCATATTTCTGGATTTATTGCATAGGTCTAGTTGGAAAAATCCCAGCACAATTCTCAACTCTGTCATCCAACTATGGGCATTGATCAGTAGTGTGTGTGGCCAAACAATAAATGCCACATAGAGGCCCAACTAAAGTAGAAGATTGGTAGCTTGCTGAGGATTATAAAACTGAGGTTGTGCACACGTCTGTGAAGGATACGCCTGGGGAAAAGTAGGCACTGCTGGTGAATTTATTAATTTTTGATATGTTAAGGCAATTTGGCTAACCATGTTAGAGAGCTCCTTCATCTTGTTCTTAAATTTATGATCATATTGTGGTGTCTGAATCTCATTCACCTTATTGACTGCTTGGTTAGCTTGCGTTCCAAATTATTGAAAATTTTGTGCCATCTTAGAAATGAGATTCATGGCATTAGTTGGAGTAAGTTCTACTAAAACACCACCAGCTGCGGCATTAATAAACCACCTATTTCTTGGTAAGAGACTTTCATAAAAATATTGAACTAGCTGTTGATCAGGTATTTGATGGTGATGGCAGCTTACACATAATTTCTTAAATCTCTCCCAATATTCATGAAATGTCTCCCTAGTCATTTGACGAATCCCACAAATATCTTTTTTTATTGCTGCTATGTGAGAGGCAAGGAAGAATGTTTCCAAAAATAAGTATGTCATTTGATCCTAAGAGGTAATGGCACCTGGTTACAAATAATATAACCAATCTTTTGCAACTTCATCCAATGAAAAAGGAAAAGCCCTCAATTTAATTTACTCTTCTGAAACTCCTTGAGGCTTTATAGTGGAGCACATAATATGAAATTCCTTCAAGTGCCTGTTCGGGTCCTCTTCTGCAAGACCATAAAATTTAGATAGCAAATGTACTAAATCAGATTTCAATCCAAAACTAGCATTTGTATCTAAATTAGGATATTGAATGCATAGATTTTGATAGTGCGCATTAGGAGCAGCCAATTCTTTAATTGTCCTATTACCATTATTATTTTCAACTATGTTTTCCAACTTAATTGTAGAGTCAAAATTAGATTTAGAATCATTAATAACACTATCAATCAATTCAGACAGAATTTCAAAAATCACACTATTTCTAATTTTACAGTGCTTTTGATTCTTACGGTTATTATGACAAATTCTCTCAATCTCAGAGTTCAAATTAATTAATTTATCTTGCAAAGATCTTGTCATGCACTAATAAACCAGAAAAACAATGAAAAACACCTAAAACTAGTAAAGAAAAAAAAAACACTAATAAATCTATAAAAAATAAAAAATACTAGAAAATAAAAAATTAAAAATAATGAGAAAGGAAAAAAAACTAATAACCAAACACAAAAAGTTAACGCCTTTGACTCTCCAGCAACAGCGCCAAAATTTTGACACTAAAGTCGAATAGCACTAAAATTAATGAAAACTAAATTTTATAGTAAAGCGCAACCTAGATCGTTTCCTTAAGAGTCAATAGAATAACTATTTGAATTATGATTATAAAAAGTTAAAAAGTAGGGTGTTTTTTTATAATGAAATTAATTAAAATTAGATAAATAAAGAAAATTCAACTGAAAAAATTATTAATAACAAGTAGCGCAATCAATCAAAACCCAATCACTTAAATTTAATCTTCTTCGTTCACAAATTAAATTAATTTTATTTAACTTTATTATTCTAGTTTTATTATTTATTTCTCAAATCATCATTCAAGAATTAAACAAAAAATCAAGTTATAGATTAATTGAGATCTCCTTTGACTCATAATCTAACAACTGTTTTATGTTAGCCACAAAAAAAACAAAGCTTGAGTAATCACTCAAATCAAGCCAAATTACTGTTAAATTACTATATCAATCGATTATAGTAAGTAAAACTTTAGATAAAATTTATAACCTAAAAATTATACAATAAAACTACTCTAATCAGCAATAACAGTTAAAGTATAAAATTTAAAGGTAGAGAGAAGAAGAGCAAATTAAAATAAAGCTAAAATAAAATCTTTCTTGAATATCAAAGACTGATTAAAATTTAAGATCATAGTTTATGATTGATCACACCAAAAAAATTAGTTATTTATAAAATTGAAAATCAAACAATGTAAGATGGAAATAGGAGAGGCAATTGCTAGAGGAATTGAAAAAAAAAAAAAAGATGAACTAGGATCGCTACTACCCTCTTTTCTCTTCTATGTAAAAGTCGTTCAATTCCTTCTTTCTCTTCTCTTCCCCCATCGTGCGTCTGTTCCTCCCTTTTATAAATATGTATGATTGCATCACCCAAAACAATTAAAACCTAATAATTTACTAAAATGGTAAAATTACCTTAAATAATCCTAATTAAAAACTACACTAAAATACTCAAAATAAATATGAACAAGGTTTTAAATATTTAATTCTTAATTTGATTTCTAAGCATGTCTAAATTCTTCTTATCTAAAATATTCTCCATCAAAATCTTTCAAATTGAATCTAAAAAATTTACATAAATAAGATAAAATTAAATAGCACATGTGCAAAAATATTAAAGATATTATTTATATTTTAAAATTAAAGATTTAGTTAGTTAAAATTTTAAAACTAAATGTTGGCTAATAATATTAAATAATATCTAATTAAATTTAATTAACCTCAAATAAATATTTAAAAATTTAAATTAAAAAGATAAAAATATATAAAATTTTTATTTATCAGCTGGAAACATCGTTATCAATATATTTGCAGAGGCTTGACTCGTGACGTTCATGGAAATTGAATTAAGAGATTTTTTTTAAATATTTCGTTATCATCCAAACACAATTGCTAAACTACTAGACATTTTGAAAGCAATCAAGTTTTTGTTAAGATACTAAACTAATCAAAATTAACATTTATTCACACTCTCCAAAAGCTTTATCCTTGATTCAATACAATTTTTTCAAGAATCATCCTTATTCTAATTACATTGAGAAAATCAAATATTTCACTATAAAAGATTGGATCATGTGTCAAAGGAAGCAAACAAGTATGCTGATCTACTATCTCATCAAGCATCCAACAATAACTTTGAATTAACAATATTTCATAAACCACCTTTTAAGCATATAAATACCATGTATTTTAATATGATTGGAAAATCACGTAAATGCCAAAACATATCAACGTAAATTTATAATTAAATTTGTTAGTATTTTCATCACACACACACACAAGCACAATACATTTGTATAACATACGCTGTACAAATATACATATATAGATATACATGTGAAATGTTTTGGTAGATTAACGGGGGTTGTCTTCACACTAGATCAGCAGAATAAATGAAACGTTTTGTCAAGAATTAGCGTGCACGTGTTTCAGAATATTGTTTTAGTGGCTTGGCATACATGCATAATTATTTTTCTTCCTGCTCTTCTTTCCTAGTTCTTTCGTGGGATGAAACGAAATCATGATTATTGTAAATGACAGAGAAGAACGGAAATATGTCTTGTCTTTTAGGGATGCATCGTCATGCAAACAAAAGACTTCGCTCCAAAGAACAAGAGGAGAGTTCGAGGAGCAGGTTAACAGTTTAAGTGGATACATTAAAATCCATTTGCAAAACCATGGTTCACTAGAGAAGAAGGAAGCTCTGTCAATCTGAAATCCAAACAAATACCGCTTACAATCCAATTACGCGAACACAATCAAATGTCAATAGACTGCTACAAAATTACAGACAGAAACCTACCGTGTTATGTTTTTTCAAGTCAAAATTCTTACACCCTTGCTCTTCATCAAATCATCCCTAGATTCCATCTTTAAAGGCACTGGGGCAGAAAATATAACCGTCCCTCCATTTCTACTGAGATGCCTTTTAGAGTTTCTTTCGCCATCACTACTCAGTGCTGATCCCCCATTGTCCAGCAGGTCTTCCTCACCAACTTCAGCCCCACGAGAAGAATCCAAAACATCTTCAGCTTCATTTCTAATATGCACCAATATCTCTTCCTGCTCATCACTAGACGAACTTCCATCTAAACCAGTCGCATCTACACTTAGAGCTGGTTCATAATTGTTGCTGTTGATCTTAGAAAAATTTCCACTCTCTGCAAAGCTTACACTTTTCTTCGCTTTAGGTTTATGTTGAACCTCTTGCCTTTGAACAAAAACACCATTGTTAGTCTGGGTACCCTTTCGTCTTCTGAATACTATACTGGGATCTGCATCATCATCATTGTCATCGATGACATGAAGAATTTCCTCGGATTTTACGTCCTCCTCATTTGCGGAAAGCTTACATAATCGGCTAATTCTCTCAACTCTTCCCCTGAGGTTCTCCAACAGTTTCCCCTGATCATGACCAAAATTCCCAGGTTTATTTAAAACTCTGGATTTGTCCATGTTTTGACCAAACCTCGCATTTTTCGTCGCCTTGACTACACGCAATTGCTTTTTCGCAGCAACCCCTTCAATGGAGTCCAAAAAGTGTCCTAAATCTCTGCTAATGGACCCCTTCCCATCCCTGATCATCGGATCGCAGCACTAGAAACACCACAGAAAAATGTTGAAAAAAGAAAAACAAATAAAAAAGAAAAAAAGAAAGAAGACCTAAGATTAAAAAAGCTTCTAGTGATTAGATTACTTCGATAGATTCAAGCCGGAGAAGCAAAGCCAAGGCCTCGCCGGAGAGAGCTGCATAATCAATGTAAGCGTCGTTGGAAAGTAATGATTTGAGAGCATTAAATCTCGACTTGATACAGCCGAGCTCCTTAAGCTGCCTGAGGGTTCTCGATCTGCGAACAAGGAAGGCACGGAAGTGGGTTTGAATAACACGAGCTGCAGAGTCCCGAAGGGAATAATTCGAAGACGGACGATAGCCATGCGAAGAAGAAGAAATCCATCGCAGAGAAGATTCTAGCGCTTCAATTCGACAGAGAAGGGACGCAATAGCGGAATGGGCTTGTTGTTCATGCTGACGCAGGCGATTTTTAGAGGAATATTTACGGTATTGGTTTTGATTAAGAAACCCGTAGGTCTCAGACTGGTCGCACTGAGTGTAACGATAGGGCGGAAGAGGATCCCAGTGATCCAGAAGTGAAGCAATGGCTTGAAGCAACTGGTTAAGTGAGGGCGGCGGTGAAGGGCAACAATAGGGTGAAGGGTTACAGTAGCAGTGGGCGGCGGCGGTCGCGGGAGGAGGAGATTGGTGGTGGCAGGGATGGGAGTGGTGGCTTTGACAGCAAGAGGCCATGAAGCGGGGCGTCGTAACCCTCGAAGATTACGGGGACGGGAGGAACAGCAGCGACAGAGAAGGACGAGGATTTTGGGGTGGGCTTGGCTCAGTGGGTGCGGGTCCACCGTTTACAAGGGAAAATGCGCGTCGACGACACGTAGGATTGGATGGGCGATCTAAACGTTGGAGTCTACTTTTTGGTACCACATCCTGATGTGGAGTCCTGCTATGCACGTGACGCTTATCAGATCTCAATGTTAAATATGCGGAAAGAATTTATATATTTAAAGTTTTTATTTTTAATTAAATTAATACATATATCTATTATTGATTATTAATTTTATAATAAATTTTTGTCATTAATATTATTTAAATGTTAAAATTTACATGTCTTAATTTAACTCAATGAAAATATATTATATAAAAGTAATTATACTGGACCAAAAAAATATAAAAATAATTATATAAGTTTTGCCTTAAATGTAATATAAATAATATTAAAAAATGAATAAAAGATGAAAAGAGATCAATAGAAAAACCACATGGAAATAAAATTCCCAACTTATATTGGCATAAATAGTCAAATGAGCACTAGGAAGTTGGAAGTTTGATTTCTTCTCCTTTGCATATGATATAGATAAATTTTTTTTTAAAAAATAATTTTCAATATTGTTTGACAGTAGGATTGACATTAAGATATGAACATAGATCAGACATCAAAGTATCCCTTAAAATTTTAAAGAATACTTATGAAGGTATAAATTTTAAACTTAATTATTTTTAAAATATGAGTCATATCGTGGATCATTGGACCAATATTGATTTGATTGGTTTCATCATAAATTTAAGTGGTTTCTACAATTTCTTTTCGGCCCATCAAAAGAACTTAATTACACAAGTCAAACAGCCTTATGCAAAGTACAATACACAACAAACTGATAGAGCAAATGAATGAGAGCCAAAATACATCCAAGCCTTATGCAGAGTACACAACATAGGCTAACACTAAGAGGTAGATGACACAACGCAACAAGAGGAGCTCTATAGATTTGAAGCCTTTTTTTTTTCCTTTTTTTTCCAAATGATCCATAATGATTTTTTTTTGTGGTTTCCAAATCATCCATAATGGTTATGTAATCAACTGTAACTGTATTATATTTTATGAAGAGATTATCTACTAACCATGACTCACACACTTGAAAATATCTGCTTCATGTCAACTTAAGCAATACTAATCAACCTTACGAAATTGTTCATCCCTGCATAATGCATTGGATATTGCTATACAACATCATCAACTGTATACAACATCAATAATGTCTCAACAGTAATAACAACAAGCCGCTTTTTATAGCCTTTTTTTAAAAAAAAAAAACAACTGCTTTTTATAGCTCTTAAATCTGTAGTTTTTAAAAGGTTCTCTCTTTTTGATATGAAGAAAAAAAATCATCTTAAAAAGTGGTTCAAATTCAAATGCTCATAGAAATTCAATGTAGTAAGAAATATATATATATATATATATATAATCTCTCTGTTCTTTTACTAAATAAAAAATATCTTCCCAAAATTACTACAAACCAAAAGTGGACTAAGGGCTATATTTGCAATACCATAATTTGTAATTTCAATTCATGCTATGCGTGTTACAAAAAATTACTAGAAACCAAATATGGTGTAATCAAGCATCAATAAGGAAATAGAGCATGATTGTAATAACTCCTTTACTAGGTTACAAGTAGCTACCAAAATTAAGGTAATTAAGGATCTAACCTTAATTACCTTAATAAGGATTATTAATTTTGTAAAATATCATAAATGAGATCCCAAATTTTCATAATTTAAAATACTCTCATACATTTCTATCATTCACAAATCAGGGTTTAAAGCATATGCAGAAGCATGGAATTCAAGTTAATGCATTTGCAAAAGTAGTGTAAAAACATGAGTTTTCAGCTAATACAACACATGTGCCATGGCATGCCACTCCCACGCCGTGGCTTGCTGCCTCTATACCGTGTGTCGTTGTGGAGGCACCATACATGGCGATGCTTTGCATGAATTTTGACAACATTTTGCTATCAAATGATAGCACTGGGGACAAACTTTTAAAGCGTTCCAATTCTTCATTTGATATTCAATTGAAGTGATTTAAGTGTTTACAAAAAGCTTTCCCCTTGCTTTAGCTAATGGCACAAATTTCACAATCAAATTATTTTTCTATTAAAAGTTGGACATTCATTACAAATCTTACTCCTTTTTCATAATAACATACAATTAGGGTGCCCAAATCATAATACAAGTGCCAAAAGCTTACACTAACTCTTAAACCATGTTTAATAGACCAAAATGGACTCGTGTAACACACCATAACCTTCCAAACATATGTATGATAAATTTTCAACATCCAACCTCCTTGATTCACAAAACATGAGGGGGAGTTAACTTTGCAATCTAATTCTACTTGTACTAGTATTTTGGCCCTATTAACTATATAACTCCAACACAAACAAATGTAGGGCACAAAATACTTTCAAAACATCAAAATCTAAGTACAAATAGTCAAAAATGGATTACGCTATCCTAGTTGGCAAATTAACAATCGAAATACATATAAAGGTAAATCTATAGGCCTACAGATAGGATTTACACATGATCCTAGGCCTTTGGTCATTTTCCTTGATCGTGATCTAATGAGCTAGGCCCTGTAATGTTAAGAAATGATGGGTGAATACAATCACTGAACAACCAATGTCAATCTAACCTATACAATTGCATATCAATTAATTATCAATGCAAATAGAAATTTAATAACTTCACAAGTATCAAATACATAAATTATAATTATAGCCTCGGTCTTAAAATTAACAATCATGTGACTGTGCACTAATTTATATTATCACAATTATTTCAAAAATATGTAAAGGGTGCCCTAAATTAAGACTTAATTATCACACTAACCATAGTTAATTAAGAACTAATCCAAATGGATTATCCTACATGAATTCTTAACATGTTTTTTTTACAAACTATTTAATACAAAGGGATCCCAAGTCTTTAAAATATTTTAAAAACTCATATCATTTAATTAAACATATGCGGAAGCATGATAATAACTATTTTTACTTGCACAAATATTTTGGCCTATTAATATAATACAAACATCAAAACACATTCTCAAGGGCCCAAAATATCTTTCTATCCAACACAAAACCCATAGTGCAAGTGGATCAAGAATATATTATCCTAATTGGCAATATCATAAACTAAATACACATATCAACATAAAAGGAGAGAGGCCTATAGAAGTTATTATTATCACTTGGCCTAATGCTCATTTCCTCTATTCTTCTCAGATGAGCTAGCTCCTGTAATATGTTAGAAGAGAGGGATGAGTACAACCACTCAGTAACCAAGGTACATCTAAGTTATACAAATGCATAGTAATTAATCATGAATGCAAGTGGCTAATAAGTTTATTAAAGTGACTATGTAAACAATCACATTAACATTTAACTCATGTGAATAATCTCAAGAATAAAGTCAAATACAAAATAGCCACATATATGTTATTCACATGGTTACTACATGTTCTCATTTCTACAATTATAACCATATTCTCAACATAGCCATTAATCACTCAAACAGCAAGATAGTAATAATATGCATGATCGATCTCTTCCTTATATCCCCCCTTATTTCCTCTGACATGAAATTCGTGAGCCAATAACCAAAAGGGATCGTCCATGTGGTGAGACTACCTAAGGCCTTAATCATATCATGAGGGGCTACCAGGCCAGGGTTACCTTACTCACTTATGAACACAGTTTCCCCCAAATCACACACTATGGGGTGTCATACCCAAAACTAGCTCTACCCAAAACTCCAGGTAGGCCAGTAGGGTCAAGTCCCTTAATAGAAATAATGCTACAGTACCTTACAAGGTAAGTAGCGGCTATAACCCCTAGGATTATCGGTTAATAGCCAAGTACCATATGGATTTTGCATAACTGCTAACTCCTTCACTAAGGCGAACTCCCGTCATATGATCATGCTCATGAGAAAATGCATTTCAAAAACTCATATATATATTTCAAAATTATCCCACATGCTCATCAACTTTCATCACTGTGCATAATCCACAATTTATAACCAAGAGTGTACACATAATCATCAACCATCAATCTCATTACTCACAAGTCATAAAGTCTCAATAAAGTCACATGCATTACAAACAACTATTTCAAATTTAGATATATATATATATATATATATTCTTTTGTTTCACTAACATAATTAATTAATTAACATACAAATGCATAAAATAGATTTCCCCCGGTTACCTCAACCTTTGAGAGGTCAAAGGTTACCCCTCAAGTTACAACACTTCCAAAGCTTTCCAAAGCTTGAATGGTGTCAAAAGGAAATTAATTTACAATTGATCATATCCCAATTTGTCAATAATAATTATTAACACAATTTTTACTCATACTCTAACACCTAAGTATTTATTTTATTTTATTTTATATTTATTTTATTTTTATATATATTTTTTTAAGAACTTAGTCTTAGTCTCTTGAATTCTAAAATTTAATTTCATGTATTTGAACCTATCTACTTAGTTCAATAGTCTCTTTTATAATAATTTCATTCAAATAATTTTCTAATATCAATATTTCTCTTTTTATTCCAAAAATTCGCACATAAAAATACCCAAAAATTGTAAACTTAATTTCAAGCCTAGAATCATTATTCTATAGCCATAATAATTTATTTCTCATCTCAAATAATCATTTAAATATCAACAAATCAATTTATATTTTCAGATTTAACCAAAAATCTACCTATAGGAATCTAGGGATAAACTCAAATGCCTCAAATTTCAATTCTATCAATAAAATAATACTCTAAAATATTTATTACACTACTAACAATCTCAAAACCATATTTATTTAACATAAATTTATCCTCCTTCCAAATCCTAAATTTTCTACCACTACAAAATCAGAAACCAAAGAGAAAAGATGACTAAGAAAAATGTTTAGAACACTTACCTAGTCTTAGAATACTTAAAATCTCATTTGAAGTATCCTATTATAGAGCTTCACCTTCTGA